ATAAAACTGTTTTGATGTCCCTTCTGCTGATTCTCACATCTGTGTCAGTTCTCAGTTGGTTTTCATTGACTGCTTTTTCTCCTTATTAAAGGTCACATTTTCCTGCTTCTTTTCATGCCTAGTAATCTTTGACTGGATGCCAGTCATTGTGAATATTACCTTGTTGGGTGCTAGATGTTTTTGTATTTTTATAAATTTTCTGAGCATTGTTATGAGATGCACTTACTTGGAAGTAGTTTGTTCCTTTCAGGTCCTGTTTTTATGATTTCTTAGGAGGGTCCAGAGCAGTATTTGGTTTAAGGCTGATCATTCCCTATTACTGAGGCAAAATCTGTTGTCATCGAGTTGGTTCCAACTCATAGTGACCCTACAGGACAGAGCAGGACTGCCCCTTAGGGTTTCCAAGGAGTGGCTGGTGGATTTGAACTGCCGATCTTTTGGTTAGCAGCTGAGCTCTTCTTAACCACTGTGCCACCAGGGGTCCCATTACCAAAGCAAGGCATTTCTAAGTAGTCTACCCAGTGCCCCATGAATTATGAATTTTTCCAGTCAGATTGGTGGGAAGAGGTGCTGTTCCTGGCCCTGTGTGAGCTCCGAGCCCTGTTTCTTCTAATTCTTTCTAATGGTTCTTTCCCCAGCCTCGGGTAGTTTCTTCACATGCTTGAGCTGAATACTCAACAGGGACACTCTAGAGATTTCTAGAGATCTCTTTCTGTGCATCTATAGCTCTCTCCTCTCTGGTATTCTGTCCTGTGAATTCTAGCCACCTTGGTTTCCCTGGACTCTGGGTTCTGTATCCTGAGCTCAGGAAGTTGGCTGTGCTCCACCCAGGTGTCCCCTTCCTGTCTCATGGCCTGGAAACTCTCACAAGGCAGCCAGCTGGAACAATCATGGAGCTCACCTCGCTTCTGCCCCCATCCCAGGGATCACTGTCCTTCATGGCCTGATGTTTAGTACATTAAACCCACTGGTTTGTCTGTTTTTGTTTTTTGGGGAATGCTCATGTCCTGCTCTTGGTAATAAAAAGAAGGCAAAATTACGGGCAGCCAGAATGCCTGACCTCACCATCTCCTCATTCCAGGCTTCAGGCCGACGGGTCACCCCTGCCAGAAAGAACCCTCCTGGCCCCACGATTATGTGTGCTGGCTGGACCCTGAGCCAGCATACCCAGAGCAGAAGGCATGTGGCGCTGCTATGCCCACGGAGGGGGCCTTTGTGTAATTCACCTGATTTCCTCCCACCTGCCCTTCCCCTTGCCAGATGGCTACATCCTCTCTCTCTGGCCTGCAGGCCTTGGGCAGCCAAACCTGGAGAACGGCCACTGGCTTCACACAAAGAAAATCCAGGGTCTTAGGCTGACACAACTGAGGACGTTGCCTCAGTACCACTGGGCTGTGGGTGGGAATGGAGTGGGTCGGACACCCTACATGTGGCCTGAGTCCAAATCAGGGTTACAAAAGCTTAGATGGTACCCAAGAGCGAAAAGGTCCTGAACACATTTCCCCCTTTTAAATAGAAATAGTACATTTAAAACTGTTTTAAAATTTCTGTTTGGAGCTGTGTGTGTGTGCGCATGCGTGTGCGTATTAGGTTGAGACAAGGGGACGACGATCTATCCCTCTGTCGGTCTCAGAGGACTACAGCTCTTCTGTTTCCTTTAGGAATAACATCTAAAACCTTCTGATAGCCCTGAGGACTGACTACAACTAGCTTAGGTACTCCCCCAGACAGACGCCTCAGCAGCAGCTCACCGTTCTCTTTGACTGGCAGAGATGTTTACTTCAGCCTGGGTTCCTCGGCTTCATTTTCATTCTCTAAGGCCTATAGGGGGATGTCTGGGTTCTTGATGCTAAGCCCCATACTGAGTGGCGTGTCACTACAAGTGAGCAGTCCCTCCAGACAAGCCTGGCTGGGCGCCTCTTGGAGAGACCCTAGGCAACGCCCCGGGCAAGGCAACCACAACTGCTGGTTTCCCTGGCCCAGATCAGGACACTCAATCACAGGAGACAGCCACTGTCATCAGGAATTTATCAAGCCACACAGGCGAGCTCCCCCATGCCTTCATCCTCACCCCGTCCCTCCTCCCCCAGTCAGCCTGGCCTCCTCGTGCTCCCCCCACACTGACACTTCTGTAATACAAGAAGGGCCTTGAGGGGCGGTACGGGATAAAGCCGTGGTTCCCAAACTTGGCTGCACATTAGAATCACCTGGGGAGCTTTTAAAACCCCAGAGCCCGGTTCACACCCCATATCGGTTAATTCAGAAGGTCTGGGGGTGGGAGCCAGACATAGTATTTTTACCGTGGACTGGGTTTTGAATCCCAGCTTTACCAGTTACTAGCTGTGTGGCCCTGGGCAAGTTACTTAACCTTACATGGAGATAATAAACCCCTCAGAAAAACGAGACCCACTGCCGTTGAGTCAGTTCTGACTCCTACTGATCCTATAGGACAGCGGCTGGTGGATTCCAGTTGCTGACATTTTGGTCAGCAGCTGAGCTCTTAACCACTACACCACCAAAAAAAAAAAAAAAAAAAAAAAAA